TTAAATCACTATAATTTGGTTATTCATAACTAGATTATTAGTGTTATTGAGAGATTTGGGATCAACAGTTCTCTATAAAAACTCCAGATGTGGACGACACTGCTGGAGAAGTTGGGTTTGAATAAACACCCACCAAACTTGCTCGCAACACCTCGGCCAGTGGATCGCCGCCAYAAGAAACAGGGCTAACCAAGCCTGAAAATTTGCTGACGCCCAATTCAATGAATCCATTATTCCCCAAATCCATAGCCATATACAGATCCATAGTAGATGGCGAAAGATCCTYAGATGAATCTTTAGTCCCAGTGGATTTTTCAGTCGACCAAGCGTCGATAAAATCTCTTCTTGGGGTTTCAAAGAGGAGATAATTGTGGGAAGTTTTGAAATCCATAAAAGATGGCTGCTTTTCCCCTAAATCATCATTGAAAATAGAAYGACTTGTCTGCATTATCTGTCGCCATTGTTGTTTCGTGCTCCAATCCAAACCCCTAAAAATTACATTTCAAAAAAATTGAATAAAAACCCAAAAGAAGAACCTAGAGTAGAGGATTAATAATAATAAAAAACAGACCGAYCGTTTATTRGATTGCATATCATCAAGAAACAATGAAGGTTGGGTGGCAGAAGGTAAAATCGTAGATCTGACAACTTTGCAAGGGTTGGGTGAAGTGATGGAGTCTTGTTTGGAAGCAAAGAARAGGAAGGAGAAGGATTCTTGGGAAGTTCCACATGTTTTCTTGAACAGGGACGACCTCTGTGCATATGGCGGTCATGGTATTTATGATTAGGCGCCACATCTCTTGAGCACCTCCATTTCTTGTCRTCCGTCTTACACATGCCGAGCTCTAGATCTTGTTTGGTTGAATACCTTAGTTGGCTTACCACTATAAAACATGATAGATTTTATTTATTTAAGTTTGTATATATATATATATATATATATATATAAAGAAGAAAAAGAAGAAGAAAGAGGTCCAAGGTGGTAATTTTAGAAGTTTGTAAAGAGAAAGCAGGTTTGACCCAATTAGGATTTGGTATTGCATAAACAACTTGTATATTGTGCAAAATATTTTGTAATTAAGATATTTTGATTTCTTGCATAAAATGATGGTACTCTATGCTTTAAGACTTGTACTTAAGATATAAGTCTAGATGCTTATTAATGTAGTACATTGGTATTCTCAATAAGAATATATGAATCACAAACAGGGGAAAGAAATTTGAACATAGAAAGTTATTGTGGTTCAAGCCTTCCCCTATGTTCACTCCTACATATTTTTTATCATCTCATACACCAATAAACCTTTTCCTTTTGTTGTTGCGTTTYAATGCTATCAGATTACTTATGTTTTGGATGAGGACTGGTAAAGCTCGGATTTTGATTTTAACTGCATATGTTGATGATGATGTTGTTTTGTGTGGCTATTTCCGTTGTAGGGGATATTTTGGGTTAACGTTGCTAATATTTTACTTGGACTGAAAACGTTTTAGGAATTCACAGAATTTGATAATCAAGTGGATCGGYGAGTGGGTGTAGCAGCTGGGATTCGAATGGTCTTCACTTCCTGTATCAGCAAAAGTGGTTGTTTATGTTTCTAAGGCTGCTGGTCAACTTCGCTAGGAAAGAGTGGCTTAGTGGTTAAGGGCTTTTTAGTAGAAATTTGTTCCTGCAACATTCGTGCGGGTACTTTCTATTTKCTCTCGTTCTATGTGTTTTGTTTTATTAGAAAGTATTTACGTTGTGTATTTTTGTTTATATTTTTTCCGATGTATACAGGGGTTATTGGGATCAATAGAAGCATCARGATGATACAAAACCATTAATTCATGGGATTTCTTGACTTTTGTAGAAGTCAGTAGAAGTAGTAGTAGTAGAAAAGATGAAGAAAATACAGACAGAGGAAGTTAGGGGAAAAAAGGATTGTATAATATATATATATATATATATATTATAGCAGTATAAGAACTAGATAGTAACTAACCATGGTTTAGTTTTGCACTTCAATTTTTGGCCATGGTAAAGTTAACTAGGGTTTTGAAATATTAGATTTTAGAATACTATTTAGCTATATGACATAAGTATTGTTTCTATAGGATGTTGTTTTTGGTATGCTTGATAAAGGTTTAATATTATGTCATTTTAAATCGTTGGATTAAGATAATACAACTGTGATTAAAAGGTGGTTATAACCATATTATATATATATATATATATACACACTAGGTTTGATCAGGTGTATTACACGGGGTAATTTGAAAAAAGAATCATGTCACGAACTTATCTTACAGATATGAATGATCATCGAAAATATGATGCTACTTTAGACTTGTACTCTTGAATTAACTCTAAAGTATAACTCTTTAGACTTGAATTTAGAAATGAAACTATATCAATAATTAGTTAAAATGAAGTTAACCCTAGAATTAAATTAAATTTAGAAAATGAAACTATATCGGTAAATTAATTTTAAACTTAGAAGTAAATTTAGAATGACTCTTTAGACTTGTACTTTTGAAATAACTCTGAAATATAACTTTGAAGAATGACTTCAGATTTGTACTCTTGAAATAACTATGAAGTAAAACTCTTCAGACTTCAGACTCTTAATAAGCAAGCCAGAAGTTATGCATGCACTATGTAGAGGCTCTGCATGCACTATGCAAAGGCTCTACATGGTGCTCCATCTGGAAAAGAATGCTATCAGAATTCGGGGGAGCTAACTCTGAAGAATGACTCTTCAGACTTGTAATATAGAAATAACTCTGAAGTAAAACTCTGAAGAATGACTYTTCAGACTTGTACTCTTGAAATAACTCTGAAGTATAAAATCAATCACACAAAATTAGAGTTCAGACTTCCAAGTCTAAAAAAAAGACTTCAGAGTTCAGATTTCWGAATTCGGGTGAGCTAACTATGAAGAATGATTCTTCAGGTTTGTAGAAGATTTCAGAGTTCAGATTTCTAAGTCTGAAAAAGAAGACTTCAGACTTCTTTTTCTAAATTTAAAAAAAGACTTCAGAGTTCAGACTTCTAACCCTAAAATAAAATTTAATTTTGAAATGAAACTATTATAATAAATTGAATTTAAACTTAGAAGAGCGTATGTGTCAAATCTGAAGACGAAATATGAAGACCTTGAGTTCATATGTAATATTCTGGTTGTTATTTCAAGTTTATATATATATATATATATATATGTATATGTGTACGGGTATGTAGGTATGTGTGTAATATTTAAAAGGGTTAATTTAAAATTTTATTTTAAATTAAGAAAAAAGGGGAGGTCGGCTGTTTGTTGCCGCCCATCACCTCTCCTCCTTTTTGTATGTATATATATAGTTTTTGTGAAGAAAAGGTATACACACACATACTATATTTAGAAAGTTTTCTCTAAAGAATCAGAAGGATTGCTAAAGAGGAGGATTCAAAAGCTTTGTTACTCGATTTCTAAAAGGTGAGTGTATTAAAGCTTTGAGTATAAAGTGTTTATATACAATTTGGTAGAATTTGGAACTGGTTATTATGAATTCTGTATCAATTTATGCMAACCGTTTAAGTGATGCCCGGATTGTTATCCGGACAAATAAACCGTTCAAGTATCAACCGGGTTTATCTTAAAACCGTGTAAGAGGTGACCGGATATTAGTCTAAACCGGTCAAGTGTTGTGCGGTGTATTGACCGGATTGTTTTAAACTGGACAAAGGTTGGGCAATGTATCGTCCGGTTTACTTTATACCGGTTAACATTATAAGTGAAGTATTGATGTTAACTCAATTTCAAGTGTTAAAGTTGACCGGACTTATTATCCAGATAAGATTGACCGGACTTCAAGTCCGGATAAAGAGTTAACAGTTGTTGAAATGTTTTTAGATCAAATGGCGGTGTAACCGCGAGAGAGATGTAATGGCGGTGTAACCGCGAGAGAGATGAAATGACGGTGTAACCGCGAGAGAGATGTAATGGCGGTGTAACCGCGAGAGAGATGAAATGGCGGTGTAACTGCGAGAGAGATGAAATGGCAGTGTAACCGCGAGAGAGATGTAATGGAGGTGTAACCGCGAGAGAGATGAAATGGTGGTGTAACCGCGAGAGAGATGAAATGGAGGTGTAACCGCAAGAGAGATGAAATGGCGGTGTAACCGTGAGAGAGATGAAATGGCGATGTAACCGCGAGAGAGATGAAATGGCGGTGTAACCGCGAGTGAGAAACGTAAATATGTTTATGTTTCAGAATAGGTTTGATTCTAAACTGATTGTTTGGAATGTAAGTTGTTGGTTTTGAGATTTATACACTCACTAGACCTTTTGGTCTAACGCTCAGTTTTTGGACTAACCTGTTTTGCAGGTCAGTGTACTTTGCAAGATAAGGGCAAAAGAAAAGTATAAATGATGATAATAGTTTGTTCATATATGTATTAAAGATACATTTTATTAGTCCATGTTTTGTAATAAGACTGTTTATAGTATTATGAGTATGATGATGTGAATTATATGTATATGGAATGTGAGGGTTGTTACAGTTGGTATCAGAGCCTTAGTTTAAGGGATCTGG